TTTCTGAGACAGGGTATTTTACTGAACCTGTTGCTCACCTATGGGCTAGAATGGCTGACCAGCGATGCCCCAGGTCCTCCTATCTCTGCTGCCCACCGCTGGGATTAAAGGTATGGTCTGCAAAGCACTGCCATGACCAGCGTTTGACATGGGTTCTGGGATTCTAACTGAGACTTTCATGCTTGCCCAACGAGCACTCGAGCCACTGAGCTGTCTCCCTCCCAGGGTTGTAGATTTTCTTCAACACTTACTGGGAAGAACACACAGCTGTTTAGTAGTTACAAGTATACAGTGTGTTTTCTGATTAATGCTCTCAGTCCTGACGTCAATGTAAGAGAGTTTTCCTAACCAGACACAAGGATGTGAAAAGTCCTTTGGGTCATGCTATAATAAGCTGGAGACTCTGGGCTAGAGGTGACTTCCTTTTGAGATGCTATGGAATTTAAACAGGTACAAAGAGCAAAGTAAACCCCACATGCTCTCTGCCAATAAAATACATGCACACATGTGTGTGTATATATATGATATATATAATATATATGTATATTATATACATCATATATATCATATATATGACCACTGCTAATAGAAAATACCTTGGTGAATAGATGACACTTTTAGAAACTGGGTCAGCTCATTTGTGGACAGCAACCAGAAAAATTGGCCTTGTTCTATCAAATATTCCCATCTCTGCTGAAACATGGAAAACCTGGCTGTCCCACAGTCAATTTGCCTATGAAGCAGTACAGAAAGGCCTACAGCTTAAAAACACAACCTGCTCTCTTAAGTACAAACCATTAAGACACAACCTGCCCAAGATATCATAACAGAATCAAGGGTGTCTTCACTCAATTTCTAAATATTTTCTTTTTCTTTCAAGTTGAGATCCTCTTGTATTGAGCAAAATTAAGTAGAGATTTAAAGGGTGCCTTTAGGAAACCAATCCCATATGCCATTGTGTTTCCTAGTCAGCTGATCCTGACAAAACTGACCCACTGGTTAATAAAGTCTGTGTTCAACCCTACACAACTAAAAGGCCAATGAAACGTAAACCTTCAAGGTGAGTAGAAGAAGTGGGAATGAGCGTGAAGGATGGGGACATGGCAAGTCTAAGAAGAAGGCAGGGGAGCTGGGCTGTGGCTCAGCAGCAGAGCACCTGCTCAGGATGCTCAAGGCTCCAGGTTTAAGTCCCAGTTTCAAGGAGGGAGGAAAGGAAGGAAGAAGGTAGACAGGTAGTGGGTGGGGTTGAAAGTTTCCAAATAAGTGAAAAGTAAGGATCAGGTAAGCAAATAAAACAGCACTGGCAATATAGCCAAGTGCCCCTCACCAGCCAAGTCCTCTCTATGGTGGGGACTGGTAGATTCAGGTTCTTGGTGAGAATCCCACATCGGGTGGCATTTCTAGGGTTATATACGCTCATGGTTTGGGCGTCTTGGGCCTCAGCAAGTGGGAGTTGGAGAAAGGTGAAGACTGGGTCTACCTGTTTCACCACTATTTACCAACAACCTCCACCTACAGTGAGACCTGTTTCACCTTGGATCACTGCTAAGACGCTTTGAGGTATGATAAGAACAGAATAAGCCAGCTTGATTCCATCCTCCTTCCTCTAAGGGAAGCTTAAGAGTGTCAAGAGCTGTTTCTTTGTGTGCCATGTCTTGGCCCTTGAAAAACGCTGTTGATACTGACAGTTGAGAATGGAATATGCTGACTCGGGCTTTTCTCCCCTCTCTAATGCTCCTCTCCCTCCCCAAGTGTTTATTCTAGAAGCCTTTTGTAATCTGTCTCAAAGCTGGGTAGCTCAGGCTCTCCAAAGTGATATAGGCCAATGCAAGCAAGCACCTCACTATTCACAGTGTTAAAGATGTCCCTTGCTGGCTTTCAGATGCCATGTGCCCTGGGACCTTCGTGGATTCTCTTGGCCATGCTTTTCCCTACACTACACTCAGCAGTGTAAACAAAGAGCTAGACTTGACAGATAGACCAAGAGCTTCGGTAAGAGTGACTGAAGAATAAAAAGATGAGAAGACTTCAGAGAGAAAAGACAGGACACTCCTGGGGAAATGCCTCAAAATCCAGGACTTAGGAGCCTGGGCAATCAGAAGAGCAGGTGAGAGAAACCTTTAGTTGCCCGTTTTTAGGATTGGAGTACTTCACATGTTTCTTCAAGTCCTGACAGCCTTGAACTGGAATCCATGTGCAAAACTAGATGAACATAAATCCAATTTATTCCAGAAATTCTAATAGCTCCCTTCCACTCGAAGGAACATGGCGCTAGAATTAAGTACCCAAAGAGGAGGGGAAGATCTTTCCCCATGACACCTCTTCTGAGGCTGCTTATTCCATTGTTCCTGAAGAGGCAGCGAAACAAGGGGGGGGGGGGCTGCCTGAGGACTGTTTGCAGGAACTTCTGGGTGTGTAGCTGTTTCTTCAGAGCCACAGTGTTCTCACCAAGCCCATCCTGAGGCAGCAAGCAACCCCACCACAGCGCTGACCAAGAGCC